CAGAGACGCGGTGAGACTGCTTCTCAATATGCCCGTCACTGGTAACAATGTCGTACCGAACAACAAATGGCGGTGTTCCAACGAGATCCAGGTCCACCCGCAGTCCAATGGAGTTACCTGCACATTTATCGGGGATCTCCTCTGAGCGAATCGAGAGCGAAGGCTCCAATGGGTTCAGGAGAAGGCATGAGGACGGCTCTTTGACCTCACCCTTGCAAGATCCGCTTGACACGGTCTTTAGAGTATAGAGACCTGGCTCCGAAACAAATGGCTTATCCAATGCGTTCTTGGCGTTGTAGTTTCCGATTGAGACCTGATCGCCATGCTCACCACTGTTGGTGAGCGAGTTGATGGGTGAGAACTCCCACGTGACCTCGTGGGATGTATCATCTTTCGAGCCGGTCAGAGAGAAGTCTACCGGAAGCCTGACGGAACGGCCTTTGGCAACCTTGAAGGGATTGCGCAGGTCGCAACCATTCATGCTCGCCCTAGGTCGCTCCTTGACTTTGAAGCCGTACTTGAGACCCTTTGAGCGGGCCTTTTCATCCTCTTCTAAGTCGGCGTATTTGACAATATTGTCGAAGGCATCGCGGACCTCATCGATCGAGTACTCCCACTCTCCAGCAGAAGTCATAGACTCGTTAAGACCAACAGTCACCTTGGAAGGCCGCACCCAAGATACATCATCCTGGCTCTCCAGAACAAGACTGGAAGAAGCCGTAAGAAGAGGTGATGAGAATCCATCAGGCTGGAGACTCTGGAAGTGGAAGCTGTGATCCTTGCCATTGATCGTACGACTGTACACAATCTTGAGAGGAGGAGTCCCGTAGACGTCGAGGGAGAGGTCAGACAGCTCTTGAATACAGCGCTGAGGATCTGAAGACGCTCGAATTCGAGCTTGAGGACAAGGCACCACATATGTATCCCTGGTGGCGCGCTGAACCTCTAGCTTATACTCGTCCAAAACCCGTCCAAGTCGATAGACACCCGGTTTCTTAACCGGATAGTCCCACTGAAAACCGGACGTAGTCTGATCGGCAGTATGTTCTCGAATTTGCTTGGCTACCCTGTTGACCTCCCGGTTCGAGATTTTGATTATTTCTTCCTTGTTCGTTTCGAGGTCAATGCGAACCAGCTCGATTTCGGCCGGGATGGTGGCATTAAAGTAGATAGGCAGAGATGCGATGTTCTTTGGCTTTGCGCCCAGACAGAACGGAGCTGCTTCGGGGTTGAGGATTGCAGAACCTTCAGGCAAGATGTTGATAATCTGTTTTCCCATGATGAGGGAATGGTTGTTGAGAATGGTCGAGACTTTGACATTATGCTCGGAAACTGATAATTCACGGTCGTAAAGAACTTTGAAGAAGCCGAGTAGCCACGAATGCAGTGGGATCTATACGTGGGTTAGTTTTGCTGTTCAGTATTGTGATGATGACCGAGAGCGTACAGGAATATTAAACATGAGCATGTAGTTGAATGCCATCTGTAAGATGAACATGCCGATAACAACAGGTTGGGAGAGCTCAAGCCAAGGTATCCTCAATTCTGGTACACCAAATAGGAAGACAAAGTCAATAAAGATCCATTTCAGGAAGAGGAGCCAGGAATAGTCGCCATCTTCAACCACCTGAAGCCAGTCATAGAACTTCCAAGCCCACAACAAGACGTAGGCGCCAAACGCATAAAGACGTTGTTGGGGGGCATCGAGAACGGTCAGAGGAATGACAGGCTGGCTAACGGCGCCCTGGGGCTGCGTCTTCTCAGGTGCAAGAGGGAGAGAAGGTGACCTCGCTGAAGAACCCCTTCCGTATGACGGTGAGCCTGCTGAGCTAGGAGTCTGTGGATTGTTGTGTCGTCGAGCAGCGGTAGCTGGGGTAGCTGGGAACCCAGACCGCAGGCGGGGAGTCGATGTGCTCATGGCATTCGCATTACGGAGAAATAGACGCGCCTAAAAAGAAACCAATGATTAGGAGAACCGAGTCGCAGCCTGTAGATGATGGGGCGACTGATTGTTGCGCGTTGTGAGGTGTAAGGTTGGAGATTGGTTGTCGCAGTTAATGTTTTGATACTAAAGTAAATGTAGTTTTCACGGGTGGATGATGGAAATTCCTTTGGACTGCGTCACGTCCACTCTGGCTGGACTGAGGGTGGACGCGACTGGCCACTGTGAATTGGAGCTACAGTGGATACCTACAGGCCAGTTGGCGTTGGCGCCCTAGGCGCCTAGGTAGGCAAGCTTCAGAGGGAGGTGAGGTGGTCTTGAATACGTTTTCGGGCATTGATGGTCAGAATGGAATAGGCCGGAGAGAAGGTTTGATAAACGATGGTTTACAAAGAGGCGTTTTCTTTTATAACAACTATTAACTGTCTTCTGAGGTTGATTACCTTAGTACTAAAGTAATAGCATACAAGTAGATACAGTAGGTAAGGTATGTAGGTACCTAGGTAGGTAGGTATTGATGCATGTTGGTGATTGGCTGTTAGCTATAGTTTTGAGCTAACAATACTCTGTACAGGTAAACTGAATGCCTATTGGCTACAGCATGAAGCTGTCTCTATGCTCATTATCAACTTCATCTGCAGCAGCATATAACAGCTTCTTTTGAAGCGTACGATGAATTAATATCTCAACAGAGCAAATTCTACTAGCTCACAGGTATATATTTACCCGATGTCTGGGAACTCTACCCTGTAGAGACAAGTTATCAAGACTCTAATGTGCTTTATATGTAGACGCACCACCTTCTCCTTTGCTAAGCACTGCATACCGTTGTCAGAGTAGAGGCGGATAGCTTCCGATGGTGATAGCTTGAGCTCTTTTCTTTCACTCACGCACCAGGCGAAGTCTAGAAGCCCCTCTTTGCTTGGGTACCTACCTACCTACCTATTTGTAAGGCTATGGATTACATCGGAAGTTTGCATGCACTGCTCTGTTGTTCTGGCAGGTAAAGCATCCAACGCACAAACATCGAAAAGAGACCCAAGTCTCAAACCAAGGCTTACCTGTCAATGAAATCACCGCAAATTAACCATATCCCTCTCTTCTTCTTATTACTTTCACTCGGGTCGGGCAATCTATCTTGATACTCGCAATATTTTCCACTCCATCTCTGTCGATAAATGATCCACCATGACGAACGAGCTGCAAGCTGACGACAATGTTCGGGGCGGGGATTCTCTTGAAGACGCGCCCTTTGTGCGTCGTTCTACTCGTCTAGCTTCCAAGCCTCCTCAGCAGGTTACTACACAAGTCACAACGAGTGGCCCCAGGAGAAACCCGAAGCGCAAGGCCAGCGAGGCAGCAAACGAATTGAACCATCGCCTAAATTCTGACCAACTCCTTGACGAAGCTTTAGCTCCTCTGTCACTAAAGGATATCCAAGAGTGGGAAGGCTGGGTAGAGCTCGAGTCGGAACCAGCCTTCTTCAACATCATTCTTCGAGACTTGGGAGTTTGCAATGTCAAAGCTCAGGAGATCTTCACCATTGACCAAGATTCACTCGCACTTCTACCGTAAGACTACAATAAGCAATTTCTTATATCACAGCATATACTAACATCTCTTAGACAGCCGGTATACGGTTTGGTCTTTCTATTTCAGTATCTACCTGGGCTCGAAGAGGAGACCGAAGAACCAGATGCAACAGGTGTGTGGTTTGCGAATCAGGTAGGTAGCAGAAAACCTTTAAATATCCTTTCTGACTATGAATAGACCACAAGCAATGCATGTGCGACTGTGGCCATGCTAAACATTGTTATAAACGTCGAAGGAATCGACCTCGGTGAAAAGCTGCGAGCTTTTAAGGAGTCAACCAAGGACCTCAGTACTGCTCTACGAGGCCATCAAATCAGCAAAAATGACTTCATACGCACGATACACAACTCTTTCACACGTCGGATGGACCATCTCAATGCTGATCTATGCCTGGAGAACGAAGCGTCAGACGCGAAAACCAGCACAAGTAAGAGACGCACTGCAGCAAAGAAAGGGAAGAGGGCACCTCCACGAAGAAAGAGGTCCAATACAGAGTATGGATATCATTTCATTGCATATGTTCCCGCGGGTGGTTATGTGTGGGAGTTAGATGGGCTCCAGTATAAGCCTCACAAGCTGGGTAAGCTCTCTGCAACTATTCCAGGGGGGCATGGCTAATTTCGTCCATCAGATCGCGTTCCTGATACTGGCGATTGGACATGTGTGGCAAGACCACAGATAGAAGGCCGAATGCTTCAATATGAAGAGAGTCAGCTCTCCTTTAACCTCCTAGCTCTTTGTCAGAGCCCACTCACTGCCTACTCACAAACTATTGCCCACGCCGCTGCATCTCTCCAGTATCTGCACAAGAACACCGAATCTCTTCCCGCATTCAAGGACCTCATCTCTGCCGAGAAGCCTCCTCTGGACATTGAAGACAACTCGCGGCTGTCCGATTTCAACCTCACCAATGCAGATATCATGAGGGCACACGTTCCAGACGCTCTACAGGAAAAGATTAAGCGGTCGAATTTTGACTCTGAGAGTGCTTATGAGCTTCACCAAGAGCTTGTGATCGACGTCAAGGCTGCCATGGGCGAGTACCGCTCAGAATTGATGGCTATCTCCGATGACGAGCAGCGAGTAAAAGGCCGAAAAAAGGACTATGGACCTGCCCTACACAAGTGGATGAAAAAGCTTGCCGAGAAGGGCGTTTTGGAAGAAGTAATCAAAGCGACGTGATACGACGATTCAACGTCCTGTTGAAGTCATGAAGAGCTTGGAGTGTTTGGAACATAAGTAGTACTTGAGGAGTCTACTTACTCATGCTATTGAAACTAATTCTATTGTAGCAATGCTTTGCACACCTTTTCGCTGCGTAAACCACCTGTATTGTGAACCATGATCTCCTTTAAAGAGGGACTGGCCGCCGTCCATCATAATAGAGCCTTCCGAACACCAAGCATGCATTCCGAAAAGTAAAAATCGGCATAGCCAACATAAAAGAAAAGATTCTCAACGCCCTTTAATCGTCCGGGTACTGCTCTGTAATGTTGGACACAAAGGTACAAGTCTCAGCATCAAATCTCTTGAAGAACTTCCCAGCCTGAGGAAACAAAGATTCTGGGACCTCTCTCGGATCCCGAATCAGCACAATATTGTCTTCTGCAACAACATGCCGCTCAGGGCCTATTGTGCGTCTATGGTTATATGTCAGCTTGTAAATGAGGACCAGAGCTCTAGACGACTCACAGGCATGTGTAAAATGTTTGGTTTCGGGGACGCACCCGGTTAGGTAATTCTGTATCGCTGTTATCGTCCAGCGTCTCGTCAATAGCCACGGTGTGTGGCATGGGCAAACGCCTCGTACCCTGGTCGGTCCACCCATTAACAGCACCGATCCAGCCATATCGTCGGTGTCTAAAGACCTGCCCAATCTTGTAGAGCACATTTTGGGTTCGCGCGTTGTTCCTGTGGAAAACCGGCGGTGGAACCTCATCAAACTCATCTACAAGACCTAAAACCTCATGAGGGTCTTCCCACCTGCGGGGATTGTTCCTCATGAATCTCTCACGAAAGGGGCCAAAGCGATCATACAAAGGGAATATGTACTTCTCGACAAGCCAGGCATCTACGTGCCAGCTCTTTGCAAATCGGTTAAGGAAAGGCTCCAAAACCTCGTCCCATTCGAAGGAGTCGACTGGTGTAAGAAGAAGAGACGCCCAGAGTGCGGAGTAGAGGGAAGCCTCGATATTGGCTGGATCATTGCCGGTGATGAGTCTGGTAAGTTCGGGGTCAGCCTGCTCGTGGGCGCCAATCACCCTGGCAGCAGTGGCTCTGATATTGCGCGCTGTCCGCATGGCAATGGCGACAGGGTTTACGGGAGACAAGAAGGTATCGGTGCTCGACTGCCAGCCAAAACGGGACAGCAAAGCTTGTAAATCAGCCAGAGGGATCTCCTCACTCGAGCCATAGGGATCTAAGTACATCCTCTCTGGAGGTGCATGGTCCTCTGCAACAGGGGCGCTGTCCAGAGTTTTTCCTTTCTCTGCAAGCACTATAGCATGTACATGAGTTGGAAATGCGCAGCATTGTGCTTCGATACCCAAGCGCTGAGCGAGGCAGCAAAAGATGGCGCTCGAGATGATAGGAATCGAGTCGTGATCTTCATGGCGCAGAGCTTGGCCGATGAGACAATTTCTGAGATTTCGATAACTTGTCTCAGGATTCCGCAAACCTGTGAGGTTATTCATTCGGAGCCATCGGTTTAACTCCAGTGCCTTTTGTCGCGTTGACATTTCACCAATGTCTGGTTGAGTCTCAAGAAACTCGGCTGCCAAATTATCAAGAATATCGCTAATCTTGACGCAGTGTTAATCGGGGGGGCCTGGTCATACGAGGAGTACTTACATCGTCCAAATCGCCGGGCTGGTCGTGCAGAACGAATAAATCGAATGCCCCAAGAGCGCGCTCAAGGCTAAGGCTCTGTGGTTGGCCACTGTGAGTCGAGGTCACAAGTTGAATGTTGTACCACTCATCAATGGCGATAGATCTGTGGATACTATCCAGCAGGGATTGACTGTAATATCTAGAAGATCTGGATAAGTATTTGAACGAGAGATTAGCGATGAGGTTGCTCACCGTCGAGCCAAGACATCTTCGGCATTTTCGTCTGCTTTGCACTGCTCGAGGAGAAAATCTTTGGCGTCATAACCAAGTTGGCAAACTTTTTCATATCGCTTTAGGCGGCCAACTTTGGTTACAAGGATCTCGCCCAGGATGCGTTTGAGCTGTTCATTGCGGAACTTCCGTAAGATGAATAATTTCTTCCACGGTGTATCAGACGCCCTACCCTTTAAACGACGCCGCAGGTTGTGCTCGGGGTGCCAGAATCTAAAATTGCTTCGACAATGATATTTCCACAGAAGCGGTTCATTAGCCAGATGCCTTAGGCGATGTGAGACAAGTTGGAAATTAGAGAGGTTGTCTTCTGGGGGGATATAATAGAGCAAATGTTGAATTATCTCGTCTGGTACTTGGGAAAAGAACATGGCGGGCCTCTCGATGAGGCAGGCAGTCGATTATAGGAAGAATTGTGATGCGGTGTGGTGTGAGTGGTGAGTTCAGGTTGGAGGTTGGTTGGTGGTGTACGGAGTAGGCAGTCAGTCACTGTAGGTATGAATGTGAGATCTTTTTCTGATCGGGCTGTCGCTGTGAATCCGTTGTTCCGCTGTGTCACTGGAGTTTGCCGATCAACCGTATTCAACATGTCACGCTTTCTCCCCTCTTAGTGCTCATCAACCTATCGCCTCATTCTTTCAACCGATGTTATCATCGTTGGGTAGGTCTGGGGTACCTAATAAGGTACGTTAGGGTGAAGAACATTAGCGGGGTTATGGCCGCAGTGAGCAATGCTGAGTCATTCAAACGATTGATTTGATATGATTGGGTATCAACAAATGGCGGCAATTGGCTGCGATTTGTTTTGACTCTAGGCCGGAAATGGATACCAAAGTAAACAAAAACGCGCGTGGTAAGAGCGTCTGGGTCTTTCTCGCCCGACTTACAGCGGCGGTAAGATAGCACGCTACAATTCGACGCTACCTACTACTACCTTACCTACACATCTTTACGACTTCTTTATCACGATTTCTTCTCTCATCACTAACGACAAACACACCCAGAGACGCCCTTCGCAAGACTTGATTGCTCTAAATTGCAGAGCGTTTTAAACTGTTTACATATCATGCATTGCGTCTCTAATACACGGCATTTCTAAACTTTAAACCACCCACGCAACGACCGCCATCATGCCCGACTTTGGCGGCGGCGCGCTCGACACCCCGCGAACAAACATTGGGGATGCGACCTACCTCGGACAGCCCGACTTTGCCGATATAACACAAGAAGCATCCTTTCAGTCACCTCCAAAAGAGGGCAATCTCCTACAACAACTCCGCAATGGTCGCTCTAACGGCATTAATCTTCGCACCCCGCGCCAAAGAGGGCCCTTGGCCGACCGCCGAAACCTTCCTCCCAGCGTTGGAGGTGCCGAATTCACACCCTTACTTAAATCAGCAACAAGAAATAGTGTGCGACGCTATGGCAAAGAAAATGGCACCGCGGTACCGAACACACCGGCACTAGACAAGATCGACGAAGGTGACCTGACTCCCGTCCCCCGCGGCGACACGTCCATCTACCTAGGGTCGCGTAATCAGTCTTATATGGAGAATACCATTCCCGAGGTCGATACCAGTAGCGCTGCCTCAACCCCGTTGGCTGTTCCCCGAAGGAGAGGCGGTGATAAGGGACCCCTCCAGGATGGTAATCAGCTTTCGCTAAGAGAGCAGGAGAATGTGATTGATAGGATCGAAAAGGAGAATTTTGGACTGAAGCTCAAGATTCATTTCCTCGAAGAGGCGCTCCGAAAGGCTGGGCCTGGCTTTAGCGAAGCTGCCCTCAAGGAGAACACCGAACTTAAGGTCGACAAAGTCACCATGCAAAGAGAACTTCACCGATACAAAAAGCACTTGACGACCGCTGAGAAGGACTTGGAGAGCTATCGACAGCAAATGCTAGAAGTACAAGAAAAGGCTAAGCGGAAATACGCCAACCAGAGTAATCAGGCCGAAGTTGAGAAGCTGCAGCGCATATTAGAAGATCGCGAAGCAGATATCGAAGACCTCCAGCAACAGCTACAACAACAGAAAGGGAACAGTGACCAGGTCGAAAAGCTGCAGGATGACATCGGAGATCTCGAGGCTGACGTCCGGGAGAAGGATCAGCAACTCATGGAGCGTGAAGACGAGCTCGAGGACCTGAAGGAACAAATGGAAGCTCTCAGAGATGCTGTATCAGAGGCGGAAGAGAAAACCAAGGACACTCAACGAAAAATGCTGGCATTGGAGGAGAAAGCCCAACACAACGATGAGCTGGACGATGCCAAAGACACCATCCAAGACCTCGAACACAGTATCCGCCGTCTCGAGGAGCAAGTTGAGGATGCGAAAGCCAAGATGGAGGACGCTGTAGCCGAGAAAGAGCGAGCCGAGCACGATCTCGAAGAGCTTCAAAATGATATGGCCAACAAGTCAGTGGTGACAAAGGGACTTTCTCGTCAGATCGAAGAGAAGGTTGCTCGGTTGCAAGAGGAACTGGATCAAGCTGGCCAAGACTATGCTACTCTGGAGAAGGAGCATCATAAGGTGACGCAGGAAAACAATTCCCTACAGTCTACCGTCAAGGACCTCAAGAAGAACCACGAAAGGTTCGATCAGGAACGAAGTTCTCTATCAACCAGAATCGAGCAGCTTGAGGCCGACCTCCAAGCTCGAACTGACGAAAAGAACGTACTTCAAAGCCGACACGATGCACTTGCAATGGAGTCCAGGTCCCTCCAGAAGGATGTCCAGAAGCTAGAAAAGGATGTCCAAGATCTTGAGGATGGTCTAGCGGAAGAGAGAGAGCATGCGCTAGAAATTGAAAAGGATATCCGTGGTCAATACAAAGCGGAGATGGATCGCCTCAACGACGAAATTTCAGATCTTCAGGCAGAAATCCGCGAAAAAGACAATCTTTATGATAACGACAGCGAGAAATGGGAAACTGAGAAGCAAAATCTTGAATCAGAACGAAATCGCGCCGAAGAAAAGGCAGCAGGTTTGCAAAGAACAATCGATCGCCTCAGGGAAGCCGAAGGCACACTCTCGGATAAGGAGTCAAAGTTGCAAGCAGCTATTCAAAGCGAGAATGAACGACACAGGAGCGAAGAAGGAATCCTCTCACGACAGATTGAAGACCTTCAGGACGCCCTTGAAACTCGACAGACGTTATTAACAAATATACGCAATGAACTTTCCACCGTTCGTGACGAGTTACGACAGACACAGATCGAGCACCAGACACAAGTCCGAAGAGTTGCTGCTTTGGAGGATGAGGTGGATGTTCTGCAAACAACACTGGATGAAGAACAAAACGCCGGACGCTATGAAGCCGAGGCTGCTAAGCGAGAATGCGAAGATTTGAGAGAACAGCTCAAGTCTCTACGACAACGCACCAATTCATCCCAAGCAGCATCAACACAAGTCCTCAACAAGGAGATTGACGATCTCAGGGAACAGCTTCGGGAGGCACGCAAAAGAGCGGATCTCCATGAAGGTGCCAGTCTTGAGGTGGAAGACCTGAAAGAACAACTGAAGGCTTTCCGTCAACGAGCTGGCTCGTCCGATGCTGCTAGTCAAGAGATTGATGACCTCAAAGAACAACTCCGAGCTTTGCGACAGCGTGCCAATGCATCAGAGGCTGCGAATATTGAGGTTGAGAATCTCAAGGAGCAGCTGGGAGTGTTGCGCCAGAAGGCCGGTTCGTCAGAAGCCGCCCAGTTTGAGATTGATGACCTCAAGGAAGAGCTTAAGACATGGCGTCAACGAGCCGAGGCAGCCCAGGTCGCTATTGCTACTTCAGAGCAAGATGCTCAGCAGTCGACGGAATCGATGACACGATTGAAGTGGCAGCTTTCAGACGCAAACTCTCAGCTAGACAAGCTCTCCAAGGAGAAGCAGTCTCTTCAAGACCAAGTTGCCAAGATCACTGCTGAACTGCATTCTGTCAGCTCCTCCCTGGCTGAAGTCAAGGCAGAGCGGGATGAACTTGATGGGGAACTCCGCCGAACGAAATTCTACGACAATGAAACCCTTCGTGTTGATCAAGAGAGACTTGACCTCCGCACGGCCAAACTCAAACTTGATAACGAAGTACGACGCCTCAGGGATGAGAACAAGGCTCTCATTGAGCAGCGTGATGCGATTGAAAAGACGCTGGAAGATGAAATCGAGAAAGCTGCCGAGGAGGAAGAACGTCTGGGGCAGGAGATTCTTCAGCTACAGGCCAAGCTACGACAATCGTCCTCAACAGACAGTCATGATATCGCTGCTGCTCGGCGCACGATTCGTGAGCTTGAGCGTCGGATCGAGGACTATGAAGCCCAGCTAAATACTCGTCAAATACCTACCAACTTCGAGGGGAATAGCGAGCTATCTATGATCCGCAAGGACCTCACTACAGCTCGTCAAAAGGAGCTAGAGTTCCTACAGAAAGAATCTGCCCACCGTGATGTCGTCAAAGGTCTGAAGCGACAGATTGCCGACCTCGAGCGTCAAGTTCATGAGACTGAAGTCTCTCGCCTCATTGTGTCTCCGAAATCTTCCGCTAGCGATTCTGGTCGTAAGTCAGAGGTCACAGAGCTCAGAAGCCAGCTCTCCGCAGCCCAAAAGTCAATACAGGATCTCAGATCCAAGAACCGTGATGCCGAGCGCAGAGCGATACAGTTGTCTCAGGATTTCCAGCGCCAATTGAACGATCTCGAGGATCAGAAGATAGTACTCGAGGAGGTTCTCGAGGAGGCAAGAGCTCAAGCCGAGGAGACAGCAGCACAGCATGAGCGTGCTCTTCGTCGCATGAAGCATCAACTAGATAAGACAGAGCGTGAACGCAACGCCTTGGCCACAGTACAGCCTGATCTTGGTAGACATGACCGCCAACTGAGGAAGAATAAGGCCGAGATGGAGAACCTGGAGCATGATGTTCTTCAGCAACAGGAACTCATCGAGAGCCTTGCCGCCTCCGAAGCTTCTCTTCGACGCAAGCTAGAGCGAGCACGCAGCGAACGGGCAGCATTTCGCATGAGCGCAGAGAAACTACAGAAAGATCTTGAGCGCATCAAGGCCACAGCAGTCGCCGCTAGAAACGGAGCTTCCGACCGGCGAAGCGCTGTTGACCGCAAGGCTCTGGACATCACCATCGAAGGAGCTGACCAGGCTCTCGAGACAGTGATCAGGGCAGCTGAGAGTGCCGACGAGCGTCACAGAAAGGAGTTGCGAGGCATGGTGATGCAGATGGAGTGGATGCAGGCCCGTTTCCAGCGTGAGGCCTCTCTTCGGGCTGATGCCGGGTACGCGAAGAAGTTCCTCCAGCTGCAACTCGATGTTGCCAATGCATGGTAAGTTTCTTTGTCTCGTGATTGACTCGATTTATACTGACAACCGCACAGCAATAAAGCTCAACTGCGTGAGCTTGAAGACATCCGCACAAATCTCCTTGGCAACAAGAAGGCTCTCTCTCTACCCAGCCACACGACAGCTGCCACCTCGAACACAAAACCTACTCTCAAGACCTTCCTTGTCATGGCGCGTTTCATCGCTCGTGCTCGCTTGTCAGCCAACAACTGGGCCAAGCAAGAAGTTGTGCGTCGCAAACTTGTTGTTGCAACTGAGGAGCAGCGCAAGGTGAAGCGATCAAGGCAACTAAAGGTTGTGAGAGCCGAAGCATAAGGAAATATAGCATGTCTTTACACGGAGTCTGGACATGTGTAAGCTGGCAGGACCATCCACAGAACGAACACAGCATTGCATGAGCGAGAGTGAGAGCGTATGGTTTACAGGACTTGTATGGCTGGTCTGTATCATTGTCAATTTGGTTATTAGCAGGGTTGTTACGGATACCTAAGTCGTGTTTCTACATATGGTGGTTTTTGGCGTTGAGAAATAGGAATTTGACGATCGAAGCAGCAGTATGTTTGTTACATCACAAAGAGGCTAGGCGCTACGGGCATCAAATCAAGAGCATTTTGATTAACTACACTTCTTATCATACGCTTTATGTTTGAGTTCTCCGACACAGTTATCAAGACGTCAAGGTTCAAGTACAAACCCCTTCAGACAGCCTCCCATTGCAATGCCATCCAACGGTACTATGATACTCGTTCTCAAAAAAAAAATCAAAAAAAGGGGGGTAACCTCCCCCTATTCCGCCCAGCTTCCAACTCTTGACGTTTCTTCTAACACAATTGCAGCCGAATCTTCAGTAGATTCGGGGATTTCCAACTCCAAGTTCGAGGCACGGCGGTCATGATTTATTTACATTACATGACGAATAGTAGGTTTGTGTCTGTACTTGTTAGTATCTGACTATCGAGGTCGGAGATAGCTAGTTCGACTTACCAAGGGGGTGACTACACGACAGCTGAGGCTTCTGGGTGTATCGTGTTGCGAGCTCGTCACGGATGCTGTTCAGAAGCTGAACGTAGCTCTGCTGAGGACTCTTCTTGAGCGCGGTGACGAAGGCCCAAGACATGGCGCCGGTAGCTTGGGAGGCGATAGTTGCATCGGCACTATAGAAAACCTATGTTAGCGAATTGCTTCAACCATGCTGTGTCGTGTAGGGGTAAAGGCAAAATCTCCACCGATCCAACGCAGCTCGTCGCCCCAAATGCGCAAATACAGACTCTTTAAGAGACCATATCTGGCATCTGGAGCAGGCTCGGAAGATAGTTATTCAAGTTAGATACAACAAATTGTTAAAGCCAAAACGCCTTGCGCCATGCTAGCATGCCTAATTGAGGAACCTGTCCCAATAACAAAAATGAAGAAGTGAAAGCCAAACAATTAAGCTGGAATCATCTGGTAACAAGGGTAATACTGAGGGAATAGGGGTACCCACGAAGTCTGATCATCTTTGCTGCCGGACCACATGATAACGTCGGCTGGAGAGGTCTTTGTCCTCAAGTTGCGCTCGCGAACCTCGTCGCCATTGGCAGCCTTCTTGATAAAGCCGAAAATATTGCTGGCCACGCCTCCAAGATCGCCCTGGCTGTATGAGGAGATGACACCAAGCAGGCCTTGTCCTGCTTCCTTGGCCAGGTTGGGCTCCTTGAGAATGCCTTGCGTGGAGTAAATGTAGGGCAGATCGAGGGCGGTACCAGAGTGACACGAATCGAAGATTGCTGTCAGGCGAACACCAGCTTGTAGGGGGCGAACCATGATGCGGTGCATCTCGTCGTCGGTGATATGGCCAGTCTGTCTGAAGTCAACCGGGTAAATGACTTCGTCGTAGCCATCGTCTTCGTCGCCATCAAGATCCTTTGTTTGTCCACCATGACCTGTGACAATTAGTAAAGGTTTTGGAGCTTGGGTGTGCTCAGCGTTCGAAAGCATAATTCGTACCTGAGTAATGAAAGAATAAAGAATCGTTAGGTCGAGCATCTTTTACTAGCCAATGCATAGCTCGAAGAATGTTTTGTTTGGTTGGCTGGCTCATGGGGTTTTGCTGATCATCGGTAAGGATCACCATATCCTCACGCTTATAGCCAAAGTGCTCGGAAAGATAAGCAGTCATGTTGCGGACATCGTTGATGCAGCCGCGGAGCTGACCGCGCTGGTTGAAGTAGTTGATTCCAATGAGAAGAGCTTTTCTCCTGCCGGTGCAGTTCGAGTATCTGAAGTTGTAGCTATTGGGAGCGCCATGACCGAATTGCTGAGGTGCTGTAGGAGGAGGAGCGGGGCCGCCTGGTTAGAGTTAGCTGGTACTGTACAAGTCGGTCGAGGAGCACATTGTCCATAACATACCACCAGGTCGCGAGCCGTAATTAGGTTGAGGAGGTCCTTGTTGGTAGTGGCCACCGTACTGCTGCTGCTGCTGCTGCTGCTGCTGCTGCTGAGGAGGAGGAGGAGGCCCTGAGTAGTACTGCTGTTGGGGAGGCTGTTGTTGGTAACCGAACGGCGGCTGAGGAGAAGGCTGGCCCTGCGGGTAGCCACCGCCGTATGAAGGTTGGGGTCTATAGAAGTGAAGATATTGTTAGTTATGAAGTCCATGATGACGAATGGTTCGTCAGGCAATAGCATAAGCGATCGACGGGCGCATGGGAAATGCGGGGGACGTGTATCAAATGATGTTCGTGTTTTTGGGGGAGTCGTACGGGTAATAATTGCCCTGAGGCTGCTGATGGTATTGGGGTTGCGGTGGGCCGTAGCGGCCAGAATTGTAACCCGGATATCCCGACATGACGGGGCGGTTTCGGTGTTGTTTGGAGTTGAAGTGTTTAGGTAGAGCAGCGGCTCAGTATATCGGTCGTGTCTGGACTTTGCTGATGATGTTGGAGAAAAGATGTCGAGTCGGTCGAGAGAAATGCAGGTAAGAAAAGGATGAAGAAAGCAAGCCTGGCTGGGCTGGGCCTGGGAAACTCGGGCTCGGCGCCAAGACAGATCAGACAGGATAGCGCATGTAAAAAATGTACCTAGTTCTGGGGTGAAGCTGGGCGCAATGACGATGTATTGTAGTAAAAGCGCGTGGGACGGTCAAGTGCTCAAGAGTATGGGCCAATGCTGCTGATTGATGCTGTGCTGATGAATGCTGATGCTGATGGGATGCTCACGCGGGGCAAAAAAAGAGGCGAGAAGAAGGCGTTCGTTCTTTACGCTCGTTCGCTCGAGTACTCGACTTTGATTGATTGATTGATCTAAGGGTTCTTTGAAGGCCGGGGGTCGGGATTGGATGGTTCTTCGATGGGATTGGTTCCAGAGCTGGTAGCTGTGCACGGGGCGTTTGGTCTATGGAAGCTGAAGGCGGGGGAAGCACCTTCAGAGAGTACCTAAAGGAAGAGAAGAGCTGAGGAGAAGAGAAGATGTCGATATGTTCTTGTCTGATATTGGATGGCGGGAGACGAGATGATATAAACCAGTGAGGCAGGCGCTTAGGAAGAAGAAAGGGAACAAAAATCGTAGATGAGAGCGACAAGAAAAGCAATGAGAGAGGTTCAAGGTCAAGGTCTCGCAAGCTTAAGGTGGTCGAGGACAAGGGGGGGTGTGTGTAGGGTGTAGAGAGAGGATGGATGATTGATTTGGTGTACAGCGGCCGACCAGGGCAATTTTATGGTTGATTCTGTGGTTGATGTTTTAGACAATCGCGGCAGTTGCGCCTATGATGGGTATTTCGCCTCTGAGTCTAAGACGATTGATCGATTGATCGATTAATGGTCGTTGCTGAGAAATGCCGTGTTTAAGGGACCCAGCTCGACTGGAACTTTCTGGGGGGTATCGTAGGTAGGTGCCCGTGATGTGGGGGGAATACCTAGGTACCAGGACCCTTATAGTGCAACCAGTGCTGTTGGCGTCTTGAATGAGGTGGCTAGAGGGGACTGAACCTGAAGCTGACTGGGGAGAAGCATTAACAGTTGAGGGGATATAGCATCTTCTTAAATCGTATATCCAAGCTCTGAGAATAGATTCAACTAGCTTTAGTGTAACTCGACTATGTCTATTTGTCTTTGAAGCTATTGCTTGCTCTCATGTCCTGTGATGCAACTCTTGTTGTCTTGACAGCTCGGTAATGGAGGCTCAGCGCCAGAAGAGGCCCAAAGGGGAAACATGGCCGACAATGGAAATCGCTGGTGTTAGCTCAACGACCACTACGGAGATGTTCGACTGCGCTACAGCACGAGATGCGTCCGACTTGGCAATATTTCACATCACACCGTCTCTATTTGGGAAATACTCCTTACACTGCCTTTACCATTCTCTATCTGTTCTCTTCAGGCTGCCTATCTTGGAACTATCGCTCTGTTCGTCCACTGTCATTGATAGTAGTTATTCTAATTGTACCCATCCAAAGACTCTTTTCTTGATCAAATTCAGGCTGTGCTTCTACAGGGATCTCATACTTACACTACAGTGCTAACTGCCTAGTTTCCGACCCGACTGACTGGGCCCCGGCTTCAATTTGCCGAGTCTCTGGGCTCTGGCCTTGTCATGCCCTGTTTGTCGTCTCACCGGACCTCAGCCAAGTCCCTCGTTACGTGTCGTGGTGTTTCTTGGCCCATGTAATAATTTATGACTGACTTCTCAGGGAGCAAGAAAACATGAGACTCGAGAAGAGGATGCCAAAATAAACCCAGTAGAGACTCCCCTAAACATAGGCAGGCTAAATTGCCTAAGTCTTTTTATCACTTAGAATAAAGGTCCTAAGTTTTCGTACCTCTCCCTGTGACCATCTCACCTTCCGCGTTGCTTGATAGTTGTTAGGTACCAGCCACTGTAATTTACAAGGTTGCGGCTCTTTTTCTTTTATCGGTTCGCCAGATTCAGATGATATTTTGAATGTTGGTGGCATAGGACTCTTCACGGTCGAGACCTGCGCCATGTGTGGAATACCCTTCGATCACTGAACGCAGAGACCATCTGCGACATATCTCCGCTATGGTGGCTTTGAGTCTCCATCAAAGCCAAACGTTTTCGCTGAGACGTTTCAAATGTCACATCGGGGAACCACAGACGGGTATGTGATATCGGACAAAACACCATATTCATAACGAGTCTCAAAACGTGGTCAAGTTTAGGGTAGGACGTGTGTCTAACAATGATCGACGCCCCCCATGCTCACCTGTCAATCACCCTAAGATTGAGTTCCTAGGCGCGCTGAATCTGTAATTTTGCACGTTAGCCAATTGATGTCTCGAGATGCCAAAGGTTTCAAACGTCATAAAGACCGGACTCTGGCATTCGGCCCCTGTCAGGCTGAGGCGGCGTTCCGCACCCGCTTCCCGAGGCCGGTGCAACGGCGATCACCGATGCAGGCCCGGAGCAGGGGGTTCTCAACGTCAAGTGAGCAATTGCATCGATAGACTGAACCACTCTAGTTATAAGCACTTCATTATGTATTTCCAAGAGACTACGGAGTATACAGACGATAAAAAAAATAAAAAAAAGAGTAACAGCCAGGAGATAATGATACTCATCAGCCATGTCCGAAGCCATCATAACTTCCACCAACCACTAGCCGAACGATACAAGACAGGGCATAGGTACTGTACAAACAGCAAATAGGGGCTTTCCTAATCGTCCAAGCAAGGGAACGACAACAAATTCACGATCATGCACCTTTGGATAAAAAGATAGAAGAAGAAAAAATGGCTGAAATTACCCGATAGCTCCCCCGTCTACGGCACGAAGATCATCCCGTAACGGTTTAGCAGACGGACATACCGAGAGCTGAACCAGGGCTGAGTGGGCCAATGACGGACGTTGCTGCTCCGCCGCCTGGAGCTGAGCGGGGAATTGGAGCTTGAGGAGCTTGGGCCACTTGGATGAACGGTTTTTAGGGTCTTGTTCAGTTGCATTCTCGTGGCTGTGACAAGGGCCTCAGCTTACCTTAGGTTATCACGGAGGACAGGATATGGACCGTTAGGTTACCATTAGGCTGGGCCTGATTTTGATGACGGTACGTACCTATTATCTTGCACTCTCGACGTGTCATCCAAATTGTCGGTACAGCACTCCGATTACTGCAGCAAAGCATATGTATCATGACATAGTTTCTCGGAGTCTCCTAAGAACTCTACGCACTCATACCACATACTCAACACCGACGCACCCTTCTCTTTTCCGTATCATATCCGGCAGGCTCAAACTAAAAGCCTCAGAGCCCCAAAAGCCAAAGTTACAAGCCTCCCGAAGTTGAATACCAAACGAGAAACGTACTCCGTCACTAGACTCGACCATGCCACGCGGGTCTACGTCCTAAATAAGATAGCTTCAGCCTCTCCATGCAGCCACAAACACCAACACCAACACCAACACATATCCACATTCGCTTGATATCTAAGACAACATAGGGTGATTCCGTTAATTAGCCTGCTAGCTCACCCGTTGATACGGAACGCTACAGGAAGCTATGCTCCGCGTCTCCCTCAGCTTCGATCTGTATCGTGGCATGCTCGACATGTCTCAAGTTCCCTGATCCCTCTCTACCCTGCAGAAACACTATGCAATGCCCTCTCATGTCAGCTTCAAGAGACCCGAAAGCAATGTCAATACCCATGCCTTGCATAAGGTTACCCGAGCACCCGTTTTCATGTTCCCTGAATCATTTTCCTAGACCCGAGCATATGGTTCATGGAATTTGTGTGTTGCATCGTGAGTGAGTGAGTGAGTGTGTACCAACATCGTGAGACTTCCAGTTCAGCCTCCATTGCTCGAATTCCTAATGGCGTGACGACGATTACAAGGCATAGCCAGAGTTACCTATCAGGTAATTCCATGCAGCATCACCTGCAGGTGATAAAAGTCCCAGTCTCAGCTGCCGCCTCATTGTAACCCTCCTCCTCAAGGGTATCTGATCGATAGAAAAAACCAAGCTAATCGGAACCGGAGACAGGAATGTGACCCTGGTTAATGCATGTTATGTATGGATACCCTATGTATGGATACCCTATGTATGCGTGTGATAAACCAACCAGGCAACTATGCCGTCTTAGGCTTTCCTGAACCTTGCGCTGACTTCTCATCCTGAGATCCAATATACTAATGCAAGCAAGAATGAGGTTTCCCCAAACCCATGGCCCACCTTAAAATAAGCTTAGGCATTGGTCATAGCAACGTCCCCATCAGACACAACATCTTTTCTCATCTGGTAAGCCATCATCGCCCACACTAGTTTCATAGCTGCTAGTCGTTGTATGGTATCAAATAAATCGTACCAGGGGCTCCTCCAAGCCTCAACCTTACCCCAACTTCGCCTGGATGCATCTGGCTCCCGTGCCCCTTCCAGAGCCTCAAGTAGCCGATTGGGTACTCTGACACGGATGACCGAGATATGGTGAAACAGCGAGCTCACTACAAAGATATCGTCGTAGTCGGCCCCCTTGCGCCTCCCAATGGCTTCGTATTGGGCCTTCTTGTCCCAAGTCGATGATGGAGGCCGAATCATGCGATAGTTGTCGTAGATACTCATGTTTTTGCGAGGTTTCTTAGCAAGTGGCATGGGAAGACCGTTCTCGTCACTGGGTTTCGCGTCCTTGTCGCCTTGTACCAGGTCCTTTTCGACCTCGCGTCCTATGGGCCCTCCAGGACCGCCTCCCCAGCGCTGCTTGGTTGTCCACCATTCTCCCTCCCCAAATCGCTTCTCAGTCTTTCCTTCACGTGCTCGATGCTGCGCTGTGATTAGAGCTGCTACGATCTCTCGAGCGAGGTCGAGTGACTGTGCAGTTTCAGGATCAGGCTGAGTGAAGT